CTCTGTTGTGTCGGATGAAAGCGTTTGGGGCGGATCCCTAGCCTCGGTCTTCTTCTTACGCGACCCCTTGCGACGCCGGCGCCTTTCTGGTTTTCGTGTGTAAGCTGACTCCTCTGTGTCGGACGACCGCCCCGATTCAGTCTGTGATGATGTTGAAGTTGAATCAAAGTCGCTCTCGTCAAGGCGTTTGTCGCTGATCCTCCTCTCCTGGCTTGTAACTGGATGTAACAAGTCGTCCAAAGCCTTGTCCACCTCTTTGACCAATTTCCTGGATTCTCTCAGGTCTCGTATGTCGGGCTGGTCTTTCCCTTGTGCATACTCCCTGCTCCGATCACGTGCGTTTTGGCGAGAAACCTGGGGAGGGGGCTCACTTCTTGCTCGAACGCTGGCTTTCTCTCCGCCGTCATCCGACGATTTCTTTAGGTTGTATGATCTAGCCAACCTCACCTCCTCTTCCGCGTCTTCCGAGAGGCTGTCCGACCAGGCCTTACGCACTAGCTCCGGAACTTTACTGTGCCGCCGGAGGCCTCTGATCTTCTCCTGGACGTTAGCACTACCCCGCTGTCGTCCGAAAAAGTCTTCATCTGAGGTTCCTTCTGGCCGCTCAAAAGTGCACCTGCCGCGGCCGTATGGTCCCGGGTGTCCTTTCACTGGTAGCCGACACACGGAACATCGTCTCTTCTTCTTCTTCTTCTTCTTCTCAGGATCAGACTCCATATTCGCAAAAACACCAGATGAAGAGACAAACAAAAACAGGACCGGCACCCGCGTACCGTCAAGTCGAATGGCGTATCACGTGATCGTGTCAAAGGTTACGGGCCGAAACAAAAGAAACAGGGGTTTTCTAGACAATTAACAAAAATTACCAATGGTCAATTTTTCCCACATTACTTGTAAAGTTGCAAGACATACGGCTACCCTTGTTCTTGTTTATCTTTTATTTTATATCAAAGTTGTATACAAGAGTACTGTGAAAAAGATTTTATATGCAGCAGTTGGGGTTGCTAGATTTGGAGGGATGACTGTTGAAAGCTGGAAGGTGAATATTAGTGTATGAGTTAAAAAGAACAACATTCTTACAGTGACTTACCTGTAGCATCTTATTAACGTGATTTCCAATGAAGCTCCTACTGTGGTAGGCCTGAGGGTGCACGTTGTATTGTCTGAGCACTGGTTCCAGCTTGCTTGTCAGTGGTCCTTTCCCCCTCTTCACTGACGCCTTGGCCAGGATTCCTGCTGCCTTTTCCTCCTGCATTAACAGATTGATATGTTGTCTATAGTATAGATTTTTTTTGTCTTGTCGCATTATCATGCATTTACACGTATATATGTACATGTATTTCATTACCAACCAAACAACCAGACCCCTTTACTGAATCATGTTATTGTAAGTATGACTTAAATTTGAGTTCAATGTACTCACCAGGTTGTCTCTTTTCTCTCTGAGTTTTGTGACCATGTCCACCGCCTCTTGAAACACGACCTCAGTCATGGAAGGGTCCTCATGGTCATCTTGTTGGAATGCCAGCCAGGCAAGCTGACTTTCACTCTCCTCTATTTCCTCCTCCAGGTCATCAGCTCGCGTCTGGTACGCCTCAGCCTTGTCGATAGCATCGATGTAGGCCTTGAAGCGGACGAGATGAGGGTCAGCCGTGATGTCACCTCTGTCCATCTCCTCCTCCATCAGGACGCTTTGCAGGTAACTTTGCAGCCGCATGTCCATGGTGTGGAGCTCTGTCTCCAGAAGCTTGTACAGTTTGAGAAAGATTCCCAAGCTGACATGCAATCCTGGTACAATAACTTGCAAGGACAAAGGTTTAGCTTAGTGTTAGATGTATATGATATTTAGAATTTGTAGAAATTAGATAAACCCTGTTGTACATGTGATTATCTACACCATGTTGGTTTGCCCTTGTGTACTTACATGGTTGATTGGGATGGGGAACATAGTGGGGGAAATAACATTGTGGTAGTCCTTTGCCTTGGTGATCTTCCCCTGTCCCTCCTGTATGAACTGTTGATGGTGTCTTGCCAAGGTCTCCAGTGTCCTTGGTCTCACTCTGAGGGGTTGGTCATCCTTGTCCAGGATTTGTTCCTTGTTCAGAGGGCACCAGAGGCATGGATGGGTTCCTGAAATAGAATTGCAACAAAGCTTTAAAAAAATTTGTAAAGCTACAGTTTTCTGTCTATGTACTGCATGTAATAGGGACTTTTATCTTCCTTTAAGTTTAAGGCACGAATGAACCCTATATACTAATAGGTACTACAAGTTCTAGACAGCATGCAATGTATGTATGAAACAGTATAAAACCTTCCTTACCACATGCTCCTGAAATGCCATATATCATGGACAGGAAGGCGTAGTCTCCCACTGCCAGCACTTTCACCTGAAACTCCTTCTGGTCATGGCTTCTGTGGAATAAAGTTTGATAAATGTCACTTGCAATTGTTCACATTACATGACTTTGTGCCCACAGTTTTGAGACATCTGGGGTCTCACAAGGTATCCTGTATCAAGAATAGATGGGGCATTACCCTGAGGAGCACCGAAGTGTGCTTGATCACAAATTTGCCATTTATTAGGTAAGTCTCTTCCTTTGTGTTGAAAGATAAGTTAAATTGACAGTAACTTAGTGTTTTGTTGTGAGGCAAGGATTCAAAGCTAATTTGAAATGTATCACGGTGACCGTTGTTGGCATTAATATGACAGAGAAAGAGAGAGCATGCATTAGAAAATAAAGTTGTATCATACCTCCACCTGTTTCCCTGGATGGCCTCAATGTCTGTTTTGAATCGTTGCAGGGCTGTGGTCAGGTTTTCTCTGTAATCCTTTGCCTCAAAGACGCAGAAGATGGTTGTGTTGTCCTTTGAGTTCGGATGTACCTTATTCAGGGCCTGAAACACCATCTTGAAGGAGCCCCTCCATGGTCACCGCCTAGCTTGACCCAGAGCTGGTCGGGTGGGATCCTTCCATCATGCCATGTGAGAGTACTGGAATTATATGTACAGCAAAGCTTTATGGACAGAAAATGTACATCTCCCTATCAGTAAAGGAAATAAATTATGCAGACACTATGGTTCGTAATGAGTATTGTCACAGTCTGATGAAACTTACCCTTCCTTGTGATTTCTGCTCAGGCAGTCCCCCACAGCATCCTTCAACGAGGCAACGTACGCGCACGGGCGAAGCTCAATACGCTTGCTGCCATCCCCGTCTTTCACGGAGAATGGTAAGTCCTCTGCCATGACTTCTATTCCAGAGAGTAAGCTGTCAGCAGTCTGACGCGAAACCTTCTCACTTTCGACAGCAACGTTGTACTGCTTCAGCCACCTATAAAGTATAAAATACATTTGCATTACTACATTACTGTATGTAAATCAGTATATCCATCAAAGGGTACAATTGTAACAGCAAATTAAAATTCCTCAGAAGTACAGTAGATGTTAATCTAAAAGTTTCCAATGTTCTTGTCTTCTTGTTTATCCGTCATGGTTGAGCATGATCAAGTTAATATTCAAGTTCAAAACAAAGTTTCATTAAATTGTTCTGTTTCTGGAGAACAGCAAAGAGCAGTGTTAGTATTAAGTGTTGATGCCTTTAGGCCAGATATGATATCTCTCACTGTCTCACATCATTATAAAGTATGTTTCACCTTCTCAGTTTCCTGCATTGGCCCCAGTTAAGATTGATGCTGGTCTTAGCTCCAAGCAGATGTCCAGCTGGGATCCTGACCGAGGCCAGGCCTGCTCGTTCCAGGATGCCAGACAGCTGCTGCCGTGTACAGCTGCGCAGTTCAGCAGACAGCTGGACCTCCCCAGCCTCAGCCCCACCACCGACTTGCTCGCGTACGTTGCTGACAAACTTTGCCCGTTTGTTTACCGTGGATGGTGTGGCCTCTGTTGACTTTTTCTCCGGCCGCGGAATGTGTACAAAATGTAGTGGCTACAAGACAAAAGAATGAGCATTACTGTAGTTCTATTTGTGCCCAAATAACAATATGGAGATAATTATTGTGATGTGTGTAATAAAGGATAGGATAATATACAAAATGAAAAGGATGACACTTCATAAAGAATATATCTTTAAGCTCATAATATTGCATCTTGGGCCTCATACTGGTGTTGTAAACTAGTCCCTCAGTACAGTTATACCCAGATGTTTATGTTACGAGAAGTTGGAGGGAGACCACTTCCTTGCAGCCAGAAAGCATAATTTTTCTTCACAGTTTTCTGTATACATACATTGATATGTCTTTATGTTGATTGATAACAGAGACTTCTCTACAGCACATTACTTGCTTAGAAGTGCCTGTACATGTAATTTTTTTAAAATATGTCCCTTTCTAATCTAAAGAAGGGATGTTGAGTAGATCATGACATGATTGTACATGTATTACCAATATTTGCCAGTTTCAGTTGCATGTTCTTTGGAAGTTTCGGTTTCCTGTTTTAATCTAGGCTCAATCCAAGAAGGAATAACAGTAGGAAAGGAAAAGATCTTGGTGCATTGCATGCATGTTTTGTAAATGCTGTCACTTTTCTGGACAGTTTTTGGGCCACAATGATGGACCGATTGTTTCTAAAATGTTGTATTGATGTCTCATTGATTGATAGCAGATTTTAAGCATATCTGAAACAAATGTAGTTTCTTACCTTGCCTCCAGTTTTCACACACAGTCTTTTGTCCACCATCTGCCGTCTCACCATAGCACAGAGTGCATCTTGTTGGTCAGGTGTGAGTGGTCCCTCCTCGTTCAGGTCAACAACCACTCTGTTGGATGTGACAGGACCACTCACACCTGACTGGGGACACGGGCGATCCGACGCGCGGTCGGGCTGGTACCTCGGGCGATACGGAATACCCCGTGTTGTATTCTATATTTACCACCCGTGCGTGCGAGTACGTGCGACGCGCGTGGCCCGTACAGCCTATGAGCGTGCAACGTACGGACTCCGTGAGTCTAACTTCACTATTCTCACGTGCACTTGCTGAACGGACAGCGCACGAAGCACGTGCGTGCCACGCACGGTGCTTGCGTCATCCGTGCTTACTCCTCACTTCTCAGTTGACCTGCTCAATGACCACGCAGAACACACGTGCACCATACCAGGTGCTCCGCACGTGCAACGCACGTGATTTCTACAGTATATAAAGGACGACTTGACGGGCGACTGCCAACTCGTCTCCAAGATGCCCAGGAAGGCTCAGAAGAAGACTACCAGACAAGTCCCAAAGAAACGGGCCGCGGAAGACACCAGGGCGGCTAGTGATGATGAAGTTAACACGAGGTGCACGCACTTACAACGTGCGAGTGAGTAAGGAAACCGTGCGTACGCCGCACGTGTATGTACGGCCTGTACGTGGCAACGTGGCAATCGCACAGAGACCGTACGTTGTAAGCACGTACAACTCGCTTACCACTTGCGCAATGTACGATGCACGCAACCGCTGACGGCCAGGCGTGTCGTGCAGACCACGTACGTACACCTTGCGCAACCTTGCGAGTGACGTACTCCCTCGGCCGGTCACCCTACTAGTCCATGGGCCAGACAAGATTTTGTTACCAAATCAAGGGACAAAACGCGAATGCCTTCATGTGATAGTCCTCCCCACAAGCTTTTTGAAAATATATGATAACCATGTTGAGTGCCCAGCTTTGACCTTGTTACCTGACCTTGAACTTTGACCCTATGGGGGACCATTTCCTTTCCTACTT